ATTTCTTCATGCTGTTTCTTCCACTGTGAGCGCAGCTAGTAGTGCGCGCCCACACGAATACATACGCGTGCCTACATCTCCGCAGTTCCGCTGCGAGAGACATACATCATGGTGGTGGAAAAATGGGGTAGTAAAGAAGTTCCCCCATATATCTTTACGAACGCACAGGCCAACGAACGGACTCAGAGCCAAAACAGAAAAGTACACCCCGTGATGGTCCGCCTGAAAGAGTGAGTAGGTGCAAATCAGCTCAAAATAAAAATAGAAAAAAGAAACAGAAACGGAAGAAAGCAAAAACAAGAGCCGATCGCTGTCGAAATAGAGTAAGAATGCAATAGAAAAGGATTCTGCTAATAAGAAGCCGGAAGAGGTGCTTGAAGAAAACTAAACTTCATGACAATGTTTCTTGGCTTGCTCGTTTTGTGTTTTCATTTCTTCTTCACGCAGGTAGCCACAGCGTAACAACGTGCTTTCCATCGCACGAACGTCTGTGTTCTTTTCCACACATTTCCAGTCCCCTCGTCGTCCGCTTGGTAGAAAGAAAGCTCCTTACATATATACGCTCCTCTCCTGAAGAAGGAGGAAGAGGAGGAGGAAACCCAAAAAAAAAAAATTGAGGGAAGGGCACGTTTTGTTACTGCTGTTCTCAATGACTTTTACCGGTCTCGCTGCACGCCGTCAGCCGTCACTCCACAGTACACACCCAGGCATGCTCCTCTCTGTCGTTCTGCATCAATACTGAGTGGAGAAGACATAGCAAACAAACTCTCACAATAAAAAAAAAAAAAAANCTCCTCTCTGTCGTTCTGCATCAATACTGAGTGGAGAAGACATAGCAAACAAACTCTCACAATAAAAAAAAAAAAAAAACAAGCAGTTGAATTTGATGTGAACAGAAGGCTGCAGGTACCGCGTCATCCTACGCAGAACCCTGCAGAGTTCAACAAAGGAAAGAGACGGCAGCGCCCAGAAGAAGACACAATGCAACGTGCATTATGCGGAAAACGGCAGTGCGTAAAGACAGCAGGAGTAGCAGTAGTAGTCATTTCCAGCAAACCAAAAAAAAGAATATCATGGAAGGAGCCAAAACAAAAAAGAAAGCACAAGCAAAAAGTACAATGGAAAAGAGTGACGGGGGGACGAAGGACCTAAATCGAAGTAGCAAATGAAAAAAAAGAGATTTATGCAAGCAAAGAAACAAACAAAAAAAAAAAAA